CTTTCCTTTAAACAACAACAAAAAGACGTTTAGTTTGTTTTTTAAAGACACGTGGTAGGATGGAGAAGCTTCTAAGTCTTCCCTTATTTTCTGAATTTGCTGAAAGAAGGGCTAGGAGAAGATGAACTCAAAATACACTTATCCAAAAAGATGTGGAGGAGCAGAATTTCAAATTTTCCTGTTCATTGCAAGCTCATGAATGTGTCTCAGTGTATATACGCCGTGTTATTTTGCTTGATGGTGCATAGTACTTTTCAGATCATGTGAGAACGAACCAAGAAGTGAGGATTTTGACCAAGAATAAACAAGCTACATTTCTGAGATAACATTTTTTCTTTATTTTCTTCCATATCCTCTTTACTTTGTGGGACATATTTCCGTTCTAAGTGACTATGTTCTTGCAGATTGTTATTCTTAATATTGCTTTCAATTAGAGGAAAAGTATGTGAACTGGTAGAAGAAGTACTTTACAAAATAGATATTTATTCCCCTGGTTTTGGCCTTGTAGCAGCTAATGGATTTTTTAGTTCTGTCCTGGCCTGTTTAGGGTCTGAATATTGGCTTTCTGTCTTTATAAGTGGCTGTATCAGAACTTGGCTCTGCATCTACTACATTTATACCAGGTCTGCATTCAGGTGATTTTGATGGTCCAGGCTGGTCTGTGTATTTATTCATTGGCAGCATTTCCATGAGCAATATGCACAAAGTTCTGGTCTGCTTCAAAGCAATTCTTCTGGAGAGAATTCTTCTATCACTTTAAGAGCCTGTCATCTATGGCTCTTTATTCTCTGGCATCAGACATTATATGTGAACTTATACTCTTGAAACAGTGACAAAAGGTCTTGGTGAAGTGACCCATTCAGTTTCTCTTCACCTTTAGTGAGTAAAGTTTGCAGCTCAAAACTCTTACAAGATTCAAGGACAGCCATATTAAGTCCCACTCTGAAAAGTCACTCTGGGAGGGCGGCTTCCCCCCCTCTCTGTCTGCATGTATAACATGAAAAAGGAGGCAACCTTGCAGTGCTCAGGCTCGTGCAACTGTGTTCAGTTCACTGGAAGTGCAAAATAGAGTCTCAGGTTCAGTTGCTTGTGATTTGCTAGTGATGATAAAAGGAATTTCCTCAAAAAAGTGCTTATTTCTTTTTATATGAATCACTTTGGGAAGAGAAGATATTTTTGTGCTCTTTTGGAAGTAGTGTCAGGCTTTGGTTAGGCATTTTGGCTTTTCTTATTTTGGGAATTAGTCTTAGAAAAGTTGAAAGCATTGTTGAGTCTATTACAATGAGACGTGTGTCAGTGGACAAAATTGAAGTAGTAACCTGTATAATGCAGGGTCGATAAAAAGAGTTTTGTTGAGTGGTTTGTAGGAAATCCCAACTCACATGAAAATGCAGAGATCAGATTTTCTGCACCTACCTAGAAGCAAAAAAGCATTTTGGCATCTGATTTCCAAATGTGCACCCCAGAGGTATGTGTGAGGGCTTTGCTGCTTGCAGAACACCCAGACCTTGTTGATACCATGATTGATAATGTGGGAAGCAATGGCTCGGGGATTTGATGTGCATCCTAGAGTTCTTGTCAGTTTAGCTTAGGGTGGATGTGCCTTTCTGCACTTGTCTTGTTGTGTTTTTTCTGCTCCTCAACTTGCACTTTTTAATAGCTTTTTACATGTAAATGCTGACTAGCTATTTACAGCTTCCTTAATTTTTCCGAATTTGGTTTCATTCCACAGAGAATATGTGCAAAAATACCAGCGCTCTGTGAATAGCAGTTAGAAAGATACGGAACTTTTTGCCTTTACATCACTGGTTCATGTGCAGTTGAACGCAGTGTTGGTAGGAGTCTGGCAGTTTGGAGGAGCTTCCGTGTAATCAATTGGTGGTCTGATTCCTGAAGAACAGTTAAGGTTAGGCACTAGAAATGTGCCTGCAGGGAGAAGTAACTCTCTTACTTTAGAGGGAGGGAGGTGCCTTCACGGGCATAAATGATGCATGTTTAGTTCATCTGGGAAAACTTGGCTTGCTACTGCTGATGTTTCTTTTTTTTTGTATATAAGTGGATGACTTTAATATTTGATTTTGTAAATCTGGCACTTTAAACAGGAATAAAATGGTTCCAAAAACATACTAGCCAAAGTAAATATTTACAGAAGCAGTAAAAATGTTACTGTATTGCAATGCTGGTGTCAGAATGGGCAGGGAAGTTAAGTAGATTGACTGCAGATATTTAGTGATTTTAAGACCTCTCAGAACAAAATATGCTTTTGTTTTGGGGTGAAAGTGTTGATAGGGTTGTTGCTGATACTCTCCAGTTTTGTTCACCTGCTCGTATGATGACTGCCTAATTAAGCATCCTTGAGATGTTTGCTGTTCATATTTCAGATGCTGTTTAAAGTTGTTTGTTTTCCTTTGCTTGCTGTAAATCCTCGGATGCCATCAGAAACACAACTTGATGACTGTGTATTATCATCTTGGGTTAAGTGCTGTCTCATTGCTTTGCAGGCTGCCTGCTGTTTCCCGTGGAGATCATGAAACGGCGTCAGCTTCCTAGCAGCAGCGAGGATTCTGACGACAATGGCAGTAAGTGCTTTTTTGTTGTAGAGTGCAGTAGGTTATGAGTTTGAAAACACATTTTAATGCAGTTATTTATGTGACAGAAGCATTTTGCATATTGGGTGGACTGGTAGAAATGGGTATTACAAGGATGTAGTTTTGAACTCAGTTGTTCTGAGCACAGGTGGACACTACATTCAGGACCCCTCCACTGTATTGACTGTACAGTGTTACTTAATAAGATAAAACGAGAAGAAATTAGTCGTCGTCTTTAAAATCTTTACAGGCAACACAGTTTATCATTACAAGGACAGAACTTGCACGGAGACATCTGCTGACGTTGTCCACAGCGTGCTGTTTAGTAGAAGTTTACATGAGGATTTTAAATTTGCTTCAGTGTTCTCATACTCTTACGCAATGGAAAGGCATATTGCTTCAAACTTCAGTAGAAAAGATTGATGGTGCATAAAAGTTGTTCCTTACTTTGTTTGAACATGATCTTATTTGAGGAATAACTTACAAGAATTTGAATTCAGTAAATCAGTAATTTGGATACAGAATGTAATTTTATTTTTAGCTGTTTCTGTACTAATGTAACTAACACTGAGCTGTGCATGGTGTATATATATATCTTCTGTTTGGATTCCAGGGATTGATAATCTTTCATTTAAGCAGAAAAAAAAAGAAAGGGGGGGAGGGAGATAAAATGACAGGTTGGGAAATGAGCCAAGGTATTTTATTTGCCCAAACAAGCAAGTTGATTGTACTTGACAATAGCACAGTTTAGCCAGTTGTCAGATTTTCCTGGTTTTAATTTGATCTGTCTGAGTGCACATCTTCAAATCTGAAGTCTTTTGTGAGACTTCAGAGTGAAATGTAACAGAAAATGATCAGGGAGATTTTCCAGGTGCTTTTGAAAGCTTTACTGGGTGCTGCACTGTGGCCCTGCATAGACCACTACTTCATCTGCATACATTTCTTAGGGGTGTCTGTGTTGCATGGCAGTCTGCTCAGGTATGGCCAAATCTGTGCCTTAAAACAACCTTAGGCAAACTGGTGCTAAAATGGAGGAGTGGTAAAAGGATTGAAGGAGGTGAGGACTAGCAAGCTGATTAGGAGCTAGTCCAAATAAGGATTGAGTGAAATATATTAAAGATGTGGGGTTTGGCTTGGTTTTGGAGAACTACCTGCAGCTGGGGGATTTTGGAAGAAGAAAAATCCTGAATCAGACCTGTTTTTTCTTGGTTAGAAGTTTACTTGGAGTTGTAAAAATTAAAGTTGGTGTATTTCTTCAAAGGCGACATGTGCTTTCCCAAAACAAATATGTGTTTTTACCAGTAAAATAGACAAGTAGCAGCAAATGGGATGTCTTTCATTAGCATTTTTCCTTACCCTTTTTTCATTCGCTAGCAGCTTCATATAATAGTGTTTCATTTTGATAATAGTGTTTATTTTTACTCTCTTATCTGTGGTGGTTTTTTTTGGTGGTGGGTTTTTTTTTTTTTTTTTGACTCTTTGATCCCTTCATGTGCCTTGTGTTACAGGCTTTACCAAATCAAATATGGAGCAGATAATCTTGAAGTTCTGAAACAGATACAGTTGATGGATCTGTTGCTGATTATAATGCTTATTTGTAATATCATTTGATATATAACTATCTGCAGTAGAGTTGTCGACTTACTGGGTTGTGTTTTCCAAAAAACTGTGTTTTCATCTGTTCCGGAGGTCAAGATCTAAAAAATGAGTTAGGAAAAGAATAAAAACCCTTGCCCTGTTATGATCTCTCTATTTTAAAGCCTAATCAATATGAATAACTATTTGTCGAATAAATGGCAAAAGGCAGTGAAATTTTAGAAGTGTTTTCAAGTATTGTTTGAAATACATACCACTTCCCTTTCACTACACCTTTTTTCCCTTGAATTCATTATTGTTTTTTCCCCTTGTGAAGTTACTGGGCAAATTCAGGTACAGGTTCCTGCATATTCATTCTATTACTGAGCACATGCTCAAAAAAATCAAGGGTTAATAATCAGAAGCTGAGATAACGATTAATGTAGGGTCAGCGTCTCCAAGGCTTTTTGTCATTCACACTTCCCTGAGAACAATGTCTGAGCTCAGGCCCTTTCTCTCCACTTTTCGTGTTCTAGGAGATACCAGTAGTTCCTTGCAGCTATGTTTGAATGTCAAGGGTCTCCCCTTACAGGTTTCACCTTCATTTAATCTTTTAGTGTCTTTAGTAGAATTACTGATTACTCTGACTATGTTAATTTCTGTATTATTACCTTGCCAGTAGCATCTCTGATTCACTGTACTGATGCTGGTGTTAAAAGTGTAAGCAAATTTTGTCACCTAAAAAAAAAAATAAAGGTAAAAATTTCTGTGAATTTCTGGGCTCTGTGTAGAAAGCTCTAAGTTTTTCCCTAGCTATTTTTCTTTCTCAGAGTTTCCAGAGGCAGAAAACAATTAAATAGACTATTCTGAGCATTTCCAACAGCCGTCTTCTAATTGAAAAGTTGAAATTTTAATCAACACTTAGTTGGAATCCTATTGCCAAACATCTGCTTCCCTTCACTCAGTGGCACCTCTTGACCCTCCAGTGTGCTTCTTGCACTCCAATCGTACTGAACTCGATAGTCCTTCAGCTTAGAGCTCAGCACTGCTCTCCCTCATCTCACAAGGTGAGGATTTGGCCTCCAGCTGTTGGGTTTCTTGAGTTCTGCAGTTGAGTTTTCATACTGTGCCTTGGTAGACTGTGTGATCAGGCGTCTCAGATTCATCATGAGTGTCGCTGAATAAATGTTGTTGGAGTAACCTGAATGATGATGCTTGTCTGGGGTAGACTCCACCGTGTAGACTAGTGCCACCTGGAAAACGTTTTGGCATGAAGAAATACAGATTTTATTTATTGAACTCAGGAACCTGAATGTTTATAAGGTAATAATAATGATACTGCTAATAATGGAATTTATCTAAAAAAATAAATGCACATACAGAGATTGTTTTCTGTTAGATCACTTAACTGAATCAGTTTGCTTGGTAGTCACAAGGTGATAGAAAAACAAGCCTTATACCCCAAGCACTAAAAATGTGTTATACTGAAGAGTAAGCCTATCTGTAGTTCTTCAGAGGAAGAAAGAGGTGCTCTCCTTTTATGAGATGAAGGGAGGAAGAATCGTTTTTATTTAGGGGTGAGTACAGAACAGAAGAATGCTTAACAACATGGCTGCAGCCCTAGCGTACATGCATGTATGCACTGACTTAGGTAAGGTATTTTAGTGTGGGTGGTTACATGTTATTTGCAGTATTTTGAAGCCTTGCAGCTTAAAGACAATCTTTGCCTTTCTCATCACTTCTCTTCTGCCCTCTGACTTGATTCTTTCCCAAAAGCTCAGTGCAGACTTCAAGCCCCCAAAAGTGTTATTTTACGTCCTTCAGCCTACCTACTGAAAATCATGGAGCTGTGTCACCTTAAAAATCAGAGTTCTGAATCCTTATTTAGATGTGAGGCCAAAATAGCGTGTTTGAAGCACTGAGCAAGAGATGTCAGTGAAAGCTGCGCACAGCAGTTCTGCAGTTAGTCCCTGGATATCTGAGTGTGTTCTCAGGGATTTAGTTTACTGAAATTATAGGTCACTTTTGAACATTTTATCCGTGAAATCTAGTTGAATGAAAAATGGATGCAGGCATAGTTCTGGATTTTGAACTTTTGTCTAAATGCAGAGGAATGGTGTTGGGGAAGAGGCTTGGGGAAGGATTTAAAATTGCTGGCACCTCAAAGTAATCCTTTTTTTGTTGTCTGGCAGCTCGTTAGTTTCTGTCCCTTTCCCTATAATGTATTACAGCAACTATAATAGATGTTAATATTAGCCAGGCCCATCATAAAGCCTTGTGATGTACATGCTGTCTTCTTCTAAACCTGTATTAAGTAAATTAGTAATGTTTACCTCAAACTCAATTACGTCCTTATTATCTGCATGGCTGGCTGGAACTTTGATAGTTTTAAAGCAATTTTTGTTACGTTCTGTTTCAGGTTGCTCCTCCATGGCAAAAAGTTAGTCTCCTTATGATTCCAAGTCCTACTCTAATTAAATGTTAGATACTGAAGCCGTTTTATCTTTCCTGCTCAGTGTTTGTCCTGACTTTTTAGCCTCTTTGATCTGCAAATCTGCAAAGGTGGTTTGTGCTGAATAGTCCATGTGCTCTGTTTGCTGGTGAGATAAAGTTGTGCAGTGGAGTAGTTTCCATTTATGGCTTCAGGGCATTCCTTTTGCTCATATTGCTTGGACACCTGGACAGGTCGTGTTTGAGACAAGATCTGAAGCGCAGACAGTTGTATTGTAGAGAGCTTGGGTGAAATCCAGGCCCTCCTTGATGTCAAGGAGTTTGGTTGCTGTTTTCCATGAGCAAGGAATTCACAGCATGATTTTCTTCACACTTTACTTAGTGCCACGATGCTTCTTTGTTTATTCTTGGAGGAGTTATCATCATACTCGTACAGCGGAGTGTCTGGGAGAGGAGCTGAAGACACTTGCAGATGAAAAGTACTTCTAAGATTTACAGGGTTTCACATCGGTTTTCAGAAATGTAAGATGTAATGCTTATAGATTATGGAATATAGTTCTGTGTTTTAGATGGACTCTTATTCTACAATTGCTAAAATGTTATTTTAAAGTTAAATGTATTTTGCCAAGATCCATTGCTCCGACTGAACGATAAGGATCTTAAGTTTAGAAAGGGCTTTTCATCCCAGTGGATTCCCGCTGTTTGAGATGGATCCCAGAGTGCCTTCACAGAGGTTGCCAAGTTCATAGCCGTAGGTGTGTACGTCAGTTACCACAGAACTGCAGCCGCTGCTGGCCTGAAACGCGGCGATTACGTAGCAGTGCGCGTAATGCTGTGTGGCATTTTATGAAAAGGAAGGAAAGAACATTTTTGGTTTTCAGTTGAACTGGCTGGTAGGTAAGGGATGGGGATTAAACAGCAGAATGTAACGAAGTTACAGGGCTGGAATTTGGGCTAAGCAGCAA